TGCTTGATAAACCCTGACACATTTATAAATTAGATGAAACTCAAACTATTCCATGAACTGTATTTTAATTGAAAAACAAAACCCAGTATTTACATCGTGTATATATTTGTCCATATTTATACCTGTCCATGTACTATAATTATACCATTGCCTTGATTTTAGTAATGTTTCAAAGCTGAGAGGCTTTTTTTTCTTCTGGTTTTCTGTAACTTGTATGAGGTTAGGATGTTCTGGTTGCTTCATTGAATACCTCTAGGGTCATATTTTGGTAGTTTTGTCTGGAAAGAGCGTGTCTAGAATGTAGTGCAACAGGCCTTTCAGGTTAGCTGAGCACAGGTAGTGTTTATGGTACAGACTAGCTTGTGATCCAAGATGTTTTTCATACCATGGTAATCTCTTACGTTAGATTTTATGTTTTCCTAATATAAAAAATGCACTGAATAACCCGCCTGGGACTTGGAAATCAGTTTAATTGGCAATTGCTACCGAATGGAGTGGCTTAATGATATGATAGTTCTCACAGTCAGCACCAGATGAACTAACCGTAAGCTGTCACCATGGCCAAAAGTTAACGCAGCCGTGTATCAGCTGAGTTCCTGTGCCGCCTTTTACTTCCTAGTAGGTAACAGTTAGCAGTTGGCTACGGGAGTTTGAATGCAAGTAAAGGGAGTTTTAACTACTAGTTTCATATCTCAGTGTTTAATGTTATTTCAACAGCATTCTCTCACTTCTGGTCTTCTTGATGATTAAATGTTAAAGCATATTCATCTGACTATGTGAATAACATCTCTGCTACTTTTCTGCGTAGTCTTTTGCTGGCTGAGAATGGGTTTTGCATACGACAATCTTTTTAGCCAGTGTTAATTATGTTTTTATTACCTGGAGCTCATATGAGCATGTGTGAGTTTTGTGAAGGAATCCTGGAGAGGTCTGTTGATTGGACGTTTTGGTGTTTTGTTTTTTTCAAAAAGCCGTGAGAAGACTGCAATTAAATATTTTTTTGCAGAGGGAAATTTTGGCATTTGTCTTTTATGGGGAGGCAAAAAGACAAAATACACAATTTAGTTTTCAATAATGCAAGAATAAAACTAGCAGATAAAACTTTTCTAGTATTTATAATATAAATTAAAACAGAACAGTAAAATTAATTTTGTTTCTAGTATAATAGCAAATTGTATTAAAGTGAACAGGATATCCATCATTTGACTAAGGCTTAGCAGTCTTATGTGAAGATTCGAACTTTAAAACTGTAATGAAATGCTTGGATTTGTGTATCCAAAACCTAAGCAAACCTGAAAATTCTCGTAATTCCGAAATGTTTATGAATAATGTTAATGTGGGATCATTGATGCCTAGCTGTGTTGTTGTACAAAGAAATGTGATGAGTCTTTCTGTCCAGAAACAGAGAAAAGAAGCACAAAACAGCCGTCTTGTGATTGATTTGACCTTAGCTATTCTTACAGTACAGAATCTGTTCCACTGACATCTTGAAGACTTCTTTAGCAACTTTGAATTTACTGGCATTTTTAGAAAATAGCTATTGATTGGTACATCTGTACACCAGGTCAAATTGCTGCCCTTTTTTTTTTTTTTTAACCAAACAAATCAGAAATATGTGCATAATGAGAGAAAGCCAAATATTTCAATCATTTCATTGTCATGAAATACAGTAAGAATATAATCCTTTACCACCTCTTTGCACAGATGTCATAGCTGGTAGTAGAAATAGAGTACCTACAGCTGGGAAAGCACAGAATTTGCTTTATTTTATGCAGCAATGAAAGTACAGACAACACAATGATTTTTCAAAAGTAAGAGTAGACATTTTTTGTAGTGGAACAATGGAGCAAGACCTTTTTAGTTGCCTGAAGATCAGAAGAACTGATATCACTGGTCATGGGATGTTAACCTCTGGAAGGGGTGGAGTTTATAGGGTTTTGCTCAAAGAATTGTAAATGGCTGCTTATTCCAGATTTTATTACCTCGAAGCAGAAATATGAGTAACGTGAACTGGAATTACTTTGTGACCCATACTAGATGGTGAGACTATTTTTACAGCGTTTTGGGGGATGATGCAGGAAAGCATCGGCTTTGTGTGTAAACACAAATTGCGATCAGTGGCAGACGATGAAGTGTCTCTGTATTCAGTGAGCGGCTTCAGCTTGCACTCCCCTTTAAGCGCGTAGTCAGGCCTCTCCAGCTGCTTCTCCGGCGCAGGGGAGGTGTTGGAGCACGGGCAGCGGTCGGTGCGAGCCCTCCAGCCTTCGGACGGCATGGCTGCCGGCAGCTGTTTCTTGGCCACGCAGGAACCTCGTGGGTGCACCGGCGCATAGCGAGCCGATGGACCTCCCCGGAGGAGCGCGGGCTGTGACTGGGACCATGCCTGCAGGCATCGCTTTCCTTCACCCTCCAGGCAGCCCGTCACCTACCAAGTGGACATAACTCTTTAAGCTCTTTTCAGTGGTGCCCAGTGACAGGACAAGGGGCAATGGGCACAAACTGAGGCACAGGAAGTTCCGTCTGAACATGAGGAAGAACTTCTTCCCTCTGAGGGTGACGGAGCACTGGAACAGGCTGCCCAGGGAGGTTGTGGAGTCTCCTTCTCTGGAGATATTCAAGACCCGCCTGGACAAGGTCCTGTGCAGCCTGCTGTAGGTGACCCTGCTTCGGCAGGAGGGTTGGACTAGATAACCCACAGAGGTCCCTTCCAACCCCATCCATTCTGTGATTCTGTGTGTCTCCATGCCACTTGCTTGATGGAATAGAAGCCAATGTTTAAATGTTAAATGTCTGTTGAGTTTATTTTAATTTTTCTTTTAAATATGTGTCTGGTTAATTACAAAAATGGACTCTTAAGAAGGAGTCTATTCTATTTTATTGCTTTATTTGAAAATCTGTTTAAGGAAGACAGTTCCCAGTGTTGATGGCCAGGGATTTGCACTCCATGCTTACAGAAAAACTAGCTCTTTGGCAGGTGCTGTAGAACACCAAGGTACTCTAACAAACTGTGATGTACTTTCACCAGAAAATTTTCACTTCTGGCAGTTAGAAATTCTGCTGTTTACTTGTAGGCAGATCTTACTTTCGTGAAGGATAACATGAGAATGTGTATCCCATCCAATGGCTGAAGCCTTGGAGAAGGTAGAGGGCTGGCTGACTGTTACGCTAACCTTGCCAACAGCTCACCCTTAAACGCTGTTTGCTTTACAGGACTCTACTTCATCAATCATGTAGTAACAGGAGTGGCAGTAGGAAGGAGCTATAGATTCTCTTTTTGCTCTACTAGAGGCGCCTGTATGTTGTGCAGCATGGGACACAGTAGCATCTCTTCTGTTCCCACTGCAGTGAGAATTTCTTACCTGAAACTTCAGAGTAAGAAAGATGTCTTACAACCTTTGTTGTCCGAGTTCAAGGTAGAAGAATTGAAGGGTTGTGCTGCAAATCCTAAAAGGTGGAAGAATAATGGTGATTCTCCTGAGGGAAGATGAAGAGAGCTGTAGCCGTTTCTAGCCATTGTGACCTGAGCACTTCAGCATAGTTGATGGGGAGGACAGTCACTCTTTTACTTACCTGTAGGCCTGTCGAAACAAAGGATGATCTCAAAATTATAGAGCAGGTCTGTTCCATCATATTCATTTTTCAACAACCATTTTGGCAGTGTGACAGAGTAGTTTTGATTCAAAGTAAATCAAATCAAAGTTCCTGTTATCTAGAGGTTAAAGGCTACTTACTTGATTGGGTCTGAAGTCCAAATTAAACAGCCAAAGTGACCAGGTTATTTTAGTTCCATAACCTCTGTTCTATTTTTAGATTAGAATGTTCTTTCTATAAATCGTGGAAAGTTAAAGAGAGATCCTAGTTATAAAACAGTAAGTGTTTTACACTTGCTGTTACTGACAGGCTTTTTCATAGCTGCAATATGTCTAAATCAAGGATTTTGGTTCAGCTAACTGTCGGCAGAGGACTCGGAAAAACATTTTATATCTCAATCTAAATTCACTTGCTTTGCTGAAGATTTTTGCATATTGAATCTTTTTATTTGTTTACTACTTTCAAGATCTACATAAATGCATGGAATTTGGAAAGTCATAAATTAATTTTCCTTGAGCCTTGGTTTTAAGACTCTAGGATAAAACACTTTACATACTTCAATGAGTAAAGCTTTCAAATATTTCTGGTTATTTGGAGGAAAAATACCACTGTTTAATGCCAACTATTTTTTTTTCTTAATATAAAAGTCCCGAAGATTTTCAGGCATGTGGGAAGATGTTGCTTAGAATTTGCAAAAGTGAAAAATAGGTTGTGGAAGACTTCTAATTCTATTCATATGCATGCTATTGTAAGTTGCAATTAAAGTCAGTGTTATCCCTCTATTTAAAAAAAATAGTGAAAAACTTTTTTCGAGTTATGCTGCTTTAATTTAACATGATTGTTTTTGGGGGTTTTTTTTATGACTTGCAAGCTTACTAAAGCACATAAATGTTATATAAAATATACTGTTAAAATGCTGTTTGTAATTATTTAGATGGTTATTTTTCCCATATAGAAGTTTGCCAATTAATCCGCTAACCGTTGTTCTGTAAGCCCATTAGTTGTATCGCTGCTTTTGGAAGTACGGATCAGATCAGTTCAGTCCAGGAGCACACCTATGATAAGCCATTCTGTTCTGAGGTTAGCCTGGGCCTCGGATGCCAACAAACCTCATTTGCTTTTATGATATGAGAGGTCAGAGCCTTCCTAAGAAGAACCTAAAGCTGGCTTAACTGCCCAGTGTTAGCCATCCAACGTTACTATACAGCCTAACGCATTATATGGTGACAAACTCAAGCCAAACGATAGATGGGGCCTAAACATTCCTCCAAAACCTACACCTGACGGCGAGTTTGCATCTCAGCCCTTTGGACGGGAGACAATTGGACCTCAGGTTGGGCCCAAACTCATTACAGAGGTAACTAGCTTCTTTTAAAATGTCTGTTTCTTTTTTTTTTTGTTTTCAGGGATTACAATGGTGGACACGGAAATGCCGTTTTGGCCCATTAATTTTGGAATTAACCCAGTGGATCTGTCTGCGATGGATGATCATACACATTCCTTTGACATAAAGCCATTTACCACTGTTGATTTTTCAAGCATTTCTTCACCGCACTATGAAGATATTCCTCTTGCAAGAACTGATCAGACAAGCATTGATTATAAATATGACATCAAGCTCCAGGATTGCCAGAGTATGCTGTTAATTTTTTCAGTATTTCCTTTATCTTCACATTTGTTTCTTTCTCTGGAAAGTGTGCTGCTAGCAAAAGGATTTAGAAGTGTTCAGATGCCTAAATGCCAGTATCCTGTGTCATCAAGATATTCTTGCAGGGCAGACAGAAAAGGTAGAATACACATAGCAGACCTTCACCCTTCCAAAGCAGCAGCTGGAGATGAGGCAAGGTAGTCTAAAGTAACTAAAATGACACTAAACACTTTTTGTTAGACACATGAACCCCACCGTTTGTTTCTGAAACCTCTAGTCTCCTATTCCTGTATCTTGTGTTTAAATTGTCCTTTGAAACTTTATGCAGACTATGCAGAATAAATATCCTGGATGTTAAAAAATGCCCCAGCATACATAGCATATTAATACACGTAGCCTTTTAAATTCCGAACAGCCTAAGAAACGGATGGAGTAGAAATATTGGCTGCATCTGAGTCACAACGTCGGTATAACTTTTATCAGTGTTCCTAATGCAGGCATAACCTCAGTGCCTCATAGGCTAGTGTTATTGATATACTGTGAAAAACACTGCTCTTTTGCCAGTTACAGTAAAAAAAATTACATGGAAGTCTCCTTTTAAGAAAGGAAGTGTCCTATTCTTAAAGAAGGTGTTCCTGCATTCCGGCTCAAAGTAGGAATGTGAGGTTGCTGTGCCTGGAACTTTTTAAAAGATCTGCTTAGCCTACCTAGATCTGACATCACTTTTGTTTGTAGTAATATGTACAGGAACTCTTTCAGGGAACTCTTGTTAGGAGATCTGTGGTTTTTAATTTTGGTTGTATAGCAAAGCAGGTGCTGTGTACCTCAGGGTTACTTATGGAAGAAATTAAAAGACATTTTTCCAGCTAATAATTTTTTTCTTTTGTTTAATTAGAAATGTCCATAACACTTGAATAACAAGCTAGTAGAGTTTAGGTAGGATAAATCCTCTTTGTCTTTACTTAGATAATTTTCCACTTTTCTTTTTTCTTCCTAGTTTATATAGGAAAGAAAACTTTCTAGTTTGTATGTGTGGCCAGTCTGGTAAAGAAAAGTATTCACCTTATTGTAACACTACGTCTGTTACATCACTCCTGAGACATGATCTGATGTCGTGTTATAGTGTCAAATGTCACAGCTTACTTCTATGACCAGCAATGAGGGATCTAAAGATACCATATCTGGTTGTTTGAGCTTGTCCAACATTACAAACTGATCTCTTAATTAGAAACTTTAAGAAGAGAAAATGAATCTCTAAACTGCATCCAAAGCTGAACAGTGGTCCCCAGGAGGGAGTTAAATTTCTTTAAATGGGTAATATTATATTATCCAATATATGTATTACCAAATAATATATTATTCAATGTATAGATGTATTAGACACCTAAATATTTTTTTAGACTAGATTAGAAACTCCAGTCCATCTCCCTGCAACAGTTCTGAACACCTTAAAGCAATACAAACCAGATTAGGTACTGAGAAAAGTCAGGCCTTTCATGTACGAGGTCTCCACATGTAAATTTTTAATGTCCCTATCTTCAAATCATTCCATGCTACAGAGCTTAAAACTGCATCTGTAAAACGGGGTCTACATCAGAATCGGCCTGGGCGAGGTTTTTCAGCCTGACACTGCTGGTGCAGTAGCTGCGTACAGCTCACAGCCCTTTGCATCCTGCGTTTACTGCTCACTTTGTGTTCTGAAGCAGACCATGAATCTGTCTGTGTTTGCTGTCATTGCTCTTGATTACTCCTTGCTGCTTCTTCTAGTTATTTAATTATACTTTGAGCTTATCATTTAAACCTTCTCTATACACAGGTGCTATCAAAATGGAGCCTCCTTCCCCACCCTATTTTTCAGAAAAAGTTCAGTTGTACAACAAACCTCATGAGGAGTCTGCCAACTCCCTGATGGCTATTGAATGCCGCGTGTGTGGGGACAAGGCCTCTGGATTTCATTACGGTGTGCATGCGTGCGAGGGCTGTAAGGTCAGTGATCACAAACGGGTTTCTTCTGAATGAAGTTTCCGTACTATTTTCATCTGAATAATCACTTGGTAAAATCAGAGATCTGTGCTTTTTAGAAAAAGTTTGAGGTCTTTATGCAAGTTGCTCCACACATACTGCATGTACTTTCTGACTTCATAAGTGGGAGTGTTTTAAAATACAGTTTGCTTCTTTTATTATGTTACTGATCTATTTAAAATTTTTGTGCATTTCTTCTGCTTTTATTAATTATGCAGTTATTTTTCATTCCTACATGCCCAACTCTAAAGCTCAATACTTCGAGAAATTTAAAGCTCAGACTCTGTTATTCTGATTGATTAGAGTTTCTTTACCCAGCTTTCACATTTCTAGGCTGCTACAGAAAAGTCTAACGGTATTAAAGAATGTGGCTTTCTGCTTTAAAACTCCACCAGCTTTTTTTTATGTCAATGATATTTAGTGCTTATAACACATGAAAGACAACTGAATGGTATAAAAATTGACCAGCCTCGAGAACGAGAAAAGAAATGCCAGAGAAATAAACTAATACTAATTCATTGAGGTCAAAGAAAAATATTACAGAGCTTAATGTGAAATTCCCATCTTCTCTATTTTCAATATCTTGAGGAAAATAACTAATAGTGCAGATCTAATGCAGAGCTTAAATAAAAGTTGTAGCGCTGAATTAGGAGCACACATAAAGCAAGAAGTATGCTGTTGATTAATTAAAATACAGTGCATTATATAAATCAGACTTGGCATTATGCTTTTATTATTATTTGCTGTGAGGAAAAATTAGTTGTTACAAAGAACAAATGGTGATAAATTTGGATAAGTTCTGTAAATTGATTATGAGTGTTCTGAGAAAACATCTCTAAACTGTAAAAAAACAGAATTGTGAATTTCCATGATTTCTCTCTTTGTAAGACTTTGTAAGACTTCTGTGCAATAATTTCCATGAGTTTGGCACGAAGCTTTTGGATTTTTTATGTGCCAATGTACTCTGCAAACTTGTAATATCCAAACAATTGAGATAAAGTAGAAAATAAAACAACCTAGAAAATAGAACCCAGAAATAAATATTGCGAAATTAGTTTAGCACTGTCCAAAAATAAAGAAATAGAATACGTGAAAGAATACAAATTCTCTTTAAGTACTCAGGCTCAAAAGAGAAAATAAATATTTGAAAATAAATAAAAAAATACTTAGTTGAGGAAAAAAAAGGTTATGTGTTATCTGTTTGTTTAAATTTTCTACTTGAGATCAAACTGCTGTTGGCAGAATTTTTGGTTTGTTGTGATTTATAAAAAATGTTCTACATTGGTAGTGAACTGTAAATTTTGAAAATTTCATGTTCACTTTGTAACAAATCGTCCCGTGAGCAGTGGAACAAGTGGACCTTCGCTTCCTTTGGCGCAGTGTTCCTCATGCTCAGCACGTCTGTAGAGCTCCCAGCTTACATCCCGAATGTCCTTTAATCCCCACAGATTCCCATAAGCTTCCCCAGCTACTGGAGTTTTTCATCTCTCTGTCAAGTTAGGTTGAAAATGGCTGGGAAGATTAGAACAGGAGCACCCTGATTAGCAGGCAGTATGGTCACTTGAGCCTTACGTCCTTAGGAGATCTGTCTAAAACAAAGTTAGATTCAGTGTGTATACAAAAAGGTGCTTTGGATGCATAGGGAAGTGAGACAACGACACTGGCAGTTTCTCGCATCCTTTTACATGCCTTTGTGTTTCCTCCAGGGCTTTTTTCGAAGAACAATCAGATTAAAGCTAATTTATGACAGATGTGATCTTAATTGCCGCATCCATAAGAAAAGCAGAAATAAATGTCAGTACTGCAGATTTCAGAAATGCCTCGCCGTCGGAATGTCACATAATGGTAAGCGTGCATAGCACATTTTAAAACAATAATGTTTCATCTGAAAAATAACATGAAACGTTGACTACTGATTGTGCTGCTTTAACAGTCTTCTGTTTCTTTACGCTAGACAGTTTAGAAATACATATCAGAGAGTTTGCCTCTGAGTTTAAGGCTGTGTATGTGATTGGAGCTTACTTTCCGTATAAAAATCAGATAGGTAGAGATCTGCACTTACCGATAGAATACATAATAGGAGTTTGCTTTACTCTCCATCATTCCTGACACTGTTGGTTGTTCTTCCTGAACATATTCCTAGTGCAATTGTTATTTTTCAGTTCATTGTCTTATTTTCTGGCAAGAGTCTCTTGCATACTGTAGCTCAGTATCACTTTCCTGTAATTGGAAAACTAACTTTAATTGTGAAAGATGGACTAGAGAATTTACTGAAAGTTTGTCAATAATAACAACTTGAATTTGATGCATAGAACCCTTATCAAGGACTGTTAGCATCACTAAGTTAACACTTGCTCATACTAGAACACGACATAATTTAAATGAATGGGCCAGACCCTGTACTGTTTTAAAAACCCTGTCCTCCTCCTTCCTAGGATACCCACATCTGGGCATAGATTCCAATGTGTGGTAAGTAGGAGTGCAGTGTTTCTTAGCATGCTCGTTCAGCTGTCAGCCTCGCATCGTAGAGTGTGCATAGCTGTGATTCCTGTGTAACATGTCTGACCTCTCCACCGTCCAAGGCGAATATCCCCTCCCATCTGTGCACCGTGAGCAGCGCTTCCATTCTGAGTGTGCTGTAGGCTCAGATAGCGAAGGTGTTTGCAGCTGTGTGTGGTTCTGTGACTGCCTTCTGGACAGCAGGTTAGCAGGTAGCACTGAGCATATCACCATACTGCTCTCTTGCATAGAACTTAGAAGAAAGTCCCTCTGAACTTTAAAACTAGACTATGAATTCATGTGGAAATACTTCCTTATGAATGCTGGGACAGAAAGACAGAATGAAGATTCTTTGCTGCCTTGCTTTGGCAAAGTCGAGTGAAAACAGGAATTAAATGTCATAAGATAGAGACTTATGTAATTCTAAGGGTAAAGAATTGCAAACATGACTGGGAAAATAATTTCTCTGTGTTTTTTTTAGAACTTTCATTATTTTTGATATAAAAAATGAGTGTACTGTCCCCAAGAGGAAAGCTTAACTGTGGTTTGCAAAGTTAATACATGCAGTGAATGTAAATTGGTATGGGAAATGTTTTGCTAATAGAAAATATGGTTTTCAAGTTCCTGGGATGCAACAGTCACACTTAAAAATAAATCTAATTTTGAAATGCTACTGTGGGTATTTTTATAGTAATTTAGGAGGTTTTATTATTATTATTTTCAAGGTGCATGCCAAATTCTCTCATAACGTAGCAACACAGCTACCAATTATATCAATGGGAACCATGTGCCATTCTATCAAGAAGGGGAAGGCCAAGACCATTCTCTCTGGCTTAGTAACACAAAGGGCTCAAGAAATATTTTTAAAATTAACATTTTACCTGCTATTTTTTTCCTGTTCAGCCACTGCCACGGCAGCAGCTGTGGCACTAGCAGGGCCCATGGTTGTGGGAGTCAGGGAGAGGCATCGAGAGGAGGGGGAAAGGGGAAAGCCATTTGTCCCGGGGCTTGAAGGAGCGCTTTCGCGTATTCTCACCGTGAGTTCACGTAACAGGGAGTTGGCAGTGTTTATACTCAAGTATTGGCTTCTACATTTGCCTTTTTTGCCCACTCTGGTTACATTACATTGCATGAAACAACAGCCTCCTTCCTCCATCATTTAAAAAACAAATTCATAAAAAATAATGAAATTTCGCCTTTGAAGACACAGGCCTAAATAAAAAAGCATGCAGAAATGCAACACTGGATATTGTCAGTGACACTGAGACCCATTTTTATGTTACATCTACAGATTAAAGTTCATCCATTTGGGTAGTGAAATTATCTGAATTTTAAATGCTTGCAATCAGAATGTGGATTATTTGTGCCTGAGGGCTCCAGTCTATGACTGTCTTTGCACAGATATATTATTGCAAAATGAATAGGGCACTTACAAAAACGGGGAATGCAAGGAGACACTTAGCAGCTACAGCCACATTTTTTCACGTATAAACGCTACATACCACTTGGCTGAAGGTTAAAAAAGACAGTAGTGTTCTCATGCTTTGAATATTGTTTTCCTTTCCTTCTCTAGCCACAGTGCTTCTCTGTGTTTAACTCTTAGCTGCTCAGATTGTATTCTGAAGTACCACTAATCAGAAGCTTGGTTCTTCTCTTTTAGAAATTTCATTATTTTTTTTCTGTTCTACTAAATGTACTATTTATATAAAACAAGCTACTGTAATGGGAAAACGAGTACACATGGCAGTATGGCTTTATTGTCAGTTCTGGGAGCAGTGAATTGCTCAGCGTGGGCACATGCCTCCAGTAAACTCAGAGGTGTCCGCCCTGGCTTTATCTTGTATTTTCCAGTGTAAGAAACTATGTTTATAGTCTATCTGGGGACTCATTTATGCTCAACAGTAATCTAGAAGAGTAAAGTGCTATATGGAATAATCTATAAGCAATCGTAGTGACTTCTCCAAGCCATAAAATGTGGTGAAAGGATGAATCCTCTAGTTTTTCCACAGACAAAGGGTATCATGTAGCATATAGTGTCTCAGTATAGTCACTACAGGTTTTATATCACTGACATTTGGAGAATACTGCAAATGCAAGTAAAAGAAATAACTGCCAGAGGAAAGAGAGAGAGATCATACGTTCCAGCTGCAGGCACATGCCCAAACTTTCATAATCTTCTATTACTGGGAAAGAGACTGCCAGGTGAACCCCTTCCACCCTCGCAGCATGAGCAGCAAGCCGTATTTCCAGATCCCTTGAACCAGCTTGCAGGCTTGTCCCTGCCCTTCCTGCCCCTATGGAACCTGCCTTGATCCCCTTCCCAGGCTCCAGGGAGATAAGGAAGCTGGGCCTGCTGTGAGGGTAGATGGAGGAGAGAGAAGATAGATAGAGTAGCAAGGTCCAGCGAAATAGAAGCTGAGGCCAAGGTCACAGGAGGGGGGTGAAGAGAGAAGCAGAAAATCATGCCATCCATCCTTGAAATTTTCTTCATCCACCAGAAACGCTGTGAGCTCTTATCCACTCTGTGAACTCTCCTTTATCCACCCGAACCTCTGTAAGTATCATCAACCACTCCTGCTTCTCCTCTCACCCAAAATCCCACTTTCCACATTCCTTCCGTAAACCTCCTGGTACCTGACCTCTCCCTGACTTCTGTCTCAGTCCCCTGAAAATGACAGTGACTTCTCCAAAAGGAAACTCCTAGGCTTGTACCACAAAACTGAATTTTGCCCCAGATTTTGCCTGCAATGCTAATAAACACTGAACAGAATTGGCTGCAACTAATATAATGTTTATAAAATACACTCTAAACAAAAAAAATATGAAAGCTATCCTGTTGCCTATCAAATTATAAGATAGGAATGTTTGATTCACAACTCTCTAACTTTATGTTGTTAATGAATTCTTATATTTAAAATATACTTTTGGGTCCCGATCACCTTTTTTTAAGAAACTCTGTTCTCATAATTTATGAGTTAAATCAGAAATCTTCCACGACACATATGTTCATGAAATAAACAGTGTTTAAAAGTGGATCATGGAAGATCCACTGCTATTAATCCATCCTAAAAACACCCATTGAGAAAGAAACAAACACATGTGGAAATGATAGGTTGCTAATAAACATACAATCTACACAAAAATACAGATGCATGATGAACTTTACACCAAGCACAGTTTTCACACACTAAGCACAAGAAAAAATTATGAGATTCCTGAGGGCTTTCATTATTGCCGAATTATTGTATGTAGAATTCTGATAATAATGATGATGGCAGGCAACAAGATACACCCTAAGAATTTATATCGCACAGAAAACAGTAAGTTCTCACTTCCATTCTTAGTGACGTCAGTTCATGTATTTAGAAGAAGACTTGGTCCTGTCTGCTAAATGCAAACTCTGCTAATATGAGTGGCTGAGCTGATATTTTGCTGAGCTGATAGACGTGTGATCTGATAGATGGCCATCCCGCTGGAGTGAGCGGGTTGTTAGACCAGCGGTGGGTGTTTTAGACCAGCAAGAGATAACCCCGCTATACCGCTTTGATTAGCTACTCATCTAGTGCATTCTTCGATAACAACGGGTAGTTTGGACTCGTTTGACATTGATATAATAACTTTCTGTGCTAGGAGTAAGCTTGGTGTGTTGTATCTAACTCAATTCTGAAAGCAGCATGCAAGCATTCAAGAACAGAAGTTAATGTTTATAACCTTGTTTACCGTACAACAACTATGTGCTAATTTTCTTTCAAAGTAATCTCCTTGGCATTTTAACAGGCTTGCTATAAAACTCAATGTTAACTTAGGCAGTAGTACTTCTTTTGTTGTTTGTGGGTTTTTTTTTCCTTTTTCATTTACACAAAAGGAATTTAACATAATCTTTTTTTTAAAAAAGAAGCCAGGAATCTGGTCTTCCTAGAAAAGTTAGCATTATGAGACCCCATGCCAAACCTATGCCAAATATTCCTTAAAAATATATAGCAAATTTCTATGCAGCTTTAATCATGTATGATTTGATACAGTCTTCCTCCACGTCTTTGGGCTTTAACTCCAACATAGATTATACATAAGGGTGCTTGCATTCATAAACTTCAGCACAGTGAAGACACTTGATTTAACATTAATGTTCACAGGGGTTTTTGACTGTATATATAAAAATTGTACAAGTTCTCAAACACATGGAAACAAAATATGAGATATGATTCCACCAAGGTAGACTACTGAAACAAATAGCAAAGTAATAAATAAAATTTGGGTTTTATACCACTTTTCAAGCAGAGATCTCAAAGCATTTTTCAGGATAATAAGTATCACCATCACAAGCAAAATAAAAATAAATGAGAAGT